GCATCTTTGGACTGGTTGAGGTAAGCCGCCGTTACTCCCTTGGGGACTCGTCCATCGGCAATAGCCTGGGCGACTTTTGGGTCCGTCATAGCGAACGAGATGGAGCGTAGGGTCTAGTTAGACTCTGTTCTGTTCTCCATGAAAGAGACGGTTTCTCGCACCATCAAATCTTTGTTTCCTTAGAGCAAGAAACTAGAGGAAACCGTAAACTTGGATCGCGGGTGACTTAAACTCCTTATACAAAGCCAAGCCCAAGCTATCTACCTAAGGTAAGGTAGGTATTAATTTACCACCTAAATGGAACCTAACGTTTTCCTGCTTTTTCTCTTCCCCCCCCCCTTCGAACTAGAAGAATTTCGGACTGTAATGCAACTCCACAGGGTGAAGGCGACCGAGTGGGAGTGGGAGGAGGAAGAGGAAGAGGAGGGAAGAAGTGAGCTCGGAAACGGAACGGATGAGCCGTGCGGAAGCTACGGACGTTCACAGTTAGCAAATTATTATTATTATCGTGACTGTCACTGATACAGAGTTTTCTTCTTTCCCTTCTGGAAACGTATCGTAAATTATCCCACCCACTCACTTCTCTGGGCTGTTTCGGCACTTTGGAGCTGCAGCAGTGGGAAGTGGTGTGTTGGGAAATGCACTCGAGGTCTAGAAGGAGTTTAGTTCTGTGGTGGCTTGCGCGAGGGGCCTGACCTGGCCTGGCAGCTAGGGGAGATATGACACACATGGCTTGAGCCTTGGGGCAGCAGAGTTTTAAGATGCAGATTTACTTTTAGTTTTATGGCGCATCGAGAAAATAAATCTCTCGTATCTTGGTTAGAATTGGAAAGTGATCTACATTGTTTGATCTAAGCTGAATGAACCAACAGATTGAGATGAGAGCTGTTCTCTGTGGTAATCGATGGATGGTGTCAGTCTCGCGTTTTCATTTGTGAAACTTTAAAAATATCTTGGTTCCTGAGCCGTGACTACGGAACCATTACCCAGAGCCCCTGTGGACATGGGATATCCTTGGATTGCATCAAACCTCGCTTACACAACGTAACGCTGCGGAAGCTGTGCCTCTGGATATTCGGTACGACGACATGGGACGTCGATTTGATAGATATCGTCGAGTATTGAACAATGCCATTTATTCATTGGCTGCTCGAATAACTCTGTTGGTTCGTCGAAATGGTTCCTGGCAGTTGCCAAGACTTGTTCTCAGCCCTCCAAGACCATCAACATTCTTTCTTTGCTTCTCAAGTCTAGATGCCTGCAGTCTTCAGTCACAAGCCAAACACCTTTTATGTAACAATCCATTCTTCTGTATTAAAAACTCTTTCTCCCTTACATAACACGAATCGTCCAGAAAATTCCCCTCCCGCCACCAAACGTAAACGCGGAAGTGGCTAACTAACCCCCCAGGGCTCCCGCTCTCTAGCCAAACGGCAGACCGGAGGCGCCCGCCCGCACACCCGCGATTCTTGGTTCGGAGTTTTGACCTTTTGAATCGTTCGATTTTGATCCAGATCTCGTGCCAAATGGATCCACGAAAAGGAAAAGCACCCAGCAAAAAAGCAATTATGTGTATCGAAGCTTATGCGATTCGGATATACAAGGCATGCCAGTGCGGGCGCCTCTGACTGAGTTAGGATCATCATCCTGGAAGAAACCTCTTGTTCTCCTGAATCACTAGCTTCATACTAAAATTCCAGCCGCATTCGACTTGAGAAAACAGCTGCTTTTCTCGTACAAGCTCCAAAACAGGGGTCCTACACTACACTTCGGCAAGCACGGCCGGATGGGCAGTCAGTGGTGCCCCATTACGTACCTAGTCTAGCACCTTGCTGAGTTGGGTTTGTTCATGTGAATTCTGGCCTAAGCTCGTTGCGGTTTAATTAATATCAAAAACTGGTATTTGCCTCTGAACGATCTAAGCCTTGAAACTATTTGATGCTGAAGTGCTCCCCCCTTATCAATCATTGTGAAGCTAAGAAACCAGTGGCTGTATCTAAACGTCAGTGTAATATAATAGCTAGCTTGGCCTTGCAGGGCAGTTCGTGTCCAACGCCTGAAGATGGTGTGCTCAGGGGTCCAAGTCCGCGCGTACTCTACTGTGCTGTAATAGTAGAACATTCTGCAATCTGGGCTGTCTTGCATCACCGTATCTCTATCGCTTTCATTTCTTTTTCGCGGGCCAGTTCCGCGACTTCTTGCGTTGGTCTTGCAGACCAGCAGTCCCCAACGTAGACAAAGTGATTGTCCACTTTCCGTACCAATCAAAGCTGCCAATATCCTGGAATTAGAACCACTTGGTCGCCTATCTTTGCCACACGCGAAAGCATAACAAACTCGCCGCTGTCCGTGAGACCGATCGCTGGCTCTAACTTGAAGCAAGCATTGATATCTGGTTGTACTTGTTGATTGTCCATGTTGTTCCAGAAAGAATTCTTGTCTCTTATCTGACAAATAAGTTCTTGGTAGATCTGCTTGGTGCTTTCGTTTCTTTTGCGGTTCTCTGGTGGTTGTTCATCGTCTTGGTACATGATATTTTCGGGAAACTTATCAAGAAGGTCTTCTGCAACTACTTCGGCTTTCTTGGCTGCCGTCATCATTAGTCGGTACTTGGCATATGAATAGAAGATACTGAAGGATCCGAACCAGTCGAGTGGCCACTGGTCTTTCCCATATATTTAGGTGATCATCGTCGGCCCCGAACACTCGGGCGAGTGTCCAAAGTGGATGAGGGTCCTCTGTGTTATAGGTCGGTGTATCATTCTGAAAACAGCTGAGACAAATCTCAACCAGCCATCGCATGATGCTTTAAGCGGAGGACTTGTATCGATGATGGTATGAAAGAATACTGCAGAACAGGTCAAAGTATCCCCACGAATACTCGCTGGTTCCAGGTCATCCCACTCTTCCCTGCTGTCGTAGTTTGGCACCTTATAGCTTGTGAATAAGACTCGGGGCACTTTGTTTTCACTGAATGTCTCGGGGAAGTTATATACCCAGGATGGCAAGATGTATTCTTGGTTTTGGCCCTGGCGTGCGAGACCTGCTCCAGAAAGAAAGCAAAACGGCCAACGTTTCACTGATTGTTGCGACCTCAATACTTCCGCACATACCTCAGCGTACACAGACGCAACAGTCGTCGTGCTAGTATAATCAGGCTCCATGTGCATAGTCGTTAACCCTAGTAAAGCGTAGACATGGTCCTTTGGATTCTTGGCACGATACATCCCGCCCACGAGAAGCAGAATGCCCCGCATCGATCGAATGACAGATTCATCAGCCTTTGTTGCTTCGTGGACGTACACCCATGCCCAGTCAACTTGTCTCAGCGTCAAGAACCTCTACCAATATATATTCCAGAATTACTGGTAGGTCTGGTCCACATCCGATCCATCAGCCATTTCTTTGATGATGCCAATGCAGTCTTGAGCATCCAGCAGGAATTTCAAATCAATAGACAGAAGCTGATGGATCACAACGACGCGTCTCGAGAGAACTAGTTCCTGGAAAACCCAAGCTCGCTCCCAGTTATTCGATTTCAACATTCTGTGCATGGCCTGCTCTGCGTCCGCGAACTCTTAGGGCTTGACTGGGCAATTCTCATCCCATAACAGATGCCGTAAGGGCCATTGCAACTCCTGTATATGTCTGTCTTCTATGGTAGCATATATATCGATGGCTGAGCGAACGAGGCCGCGTTCGACAGCTGCCTTGGCTAGTGTTTCACAAGTCCTGAAGGCTAGACGAATATCCGACTGTGAAGCTTCTATGTCAAGACAGGAAAATACAGCTTCCGCGGCCGGATATATGAACCTCATCAGCTGCACTTGATGGCCCTTCTCAAGGTCATCGTCTTGGTTGATGCACAGTGCATCTGCCCAAAGCCGGCAAGACCTAGAGTCTCTTTCAGGAAATGCATTGGCCCAGTGATAAGGTGCATATTCCAGTACATTTGCAAGGCTTGGTGTGATGAATTGCTCCACGCCGTTAACAGTAACTGGTTCTGTTTTTTCCTTTCTCGCCCCAGAGATATGATATCGCGCCGAACTTGGTATCTTCGTCGAGTGATACGGTGGTAAGGTTGCAGACAATTTTTGGTTTGGTAGAGAGAATCTCGACGAGGCGGATCTGCCGTCGTGACCGATCCAGAGGTGCATAGAGTCGAGAATCTTTGCTGGCAGACATTTTCCTTATTTTGAATGGGAACGAAGATTGAAGAAAAAATGAGAGTGACCACAGTCGCGGGTTTTCTCAACCGGGCTGTGCAAGAGGGAGGTGGCCAACCCCTCATGAGGCTGACTTGATGTCTTGCCTGTGAATTGGGCTGTGAAGACGAAGTGTAAAGGCCACTCTACTATGAAGAAGTAGGAAGACCCGAAGGAAAGCTCATGATAACTAGAAATTCATAGAAAGCTAATGGATGACTCAAAGCAATCTGAGAAAACTTCCAGTTATTGTGTCTCATTGAACATGATCTATCTTTTTATTTCATTTGGGGCAAGCACTCTAATAGATATAGAGAATAATCTCTTATCGGTAGCTCAAGCCCGTTAATTCTTATTTCAGTCCTGGTTCATTCCTTTTGTTGAATCCGTCAGCTTTGTTTGAAGCTTGAGTGGTAGCTATTCGGCTGATATTCAAAAGTTCAGACATATTCATTTTAAGCTTTCAAAGAAGCTGACGGTTACCACTTAGCCCGGCCCGTATTCACGCTTATGACTGTTGCAAAGCTTATTTTCTACAAGTCCTCGTCAACTCCATATATCTCTTACATTTTTCGGGTTGAGATGGGTATTATTCGTAGCCTGCAACGTGGATCGGCATCCAGAATAGATGCCGGTTACATCTCCACTTCAACCTCAAATTGACCAAGCCTCGTGACTCTTCATCTGCACATTCAGCGCTCGCTGGTCATACCCGTCAAGAACTTTGATGGACGTGCAGATTTTATTTCTGGAACAATTCTTATAAGCTTGGCCAGTCAAATAATCTTTACAACCATGGCATCAGGAATCAACGCAGAAAGAAAACCCCGCGTAGTCGCTCTCGGAAAACCTGAATACATTAGTGATGAGTACATCGAAGACTTCAAGAAGGATTTTGATTATGACGTTAGTCAAAAGAGTCCCCTCAGTACTTCTGCCCGCTAAAACCTGGCCCGAAAGCTAATCACTTGAACTCAGGTCCTTGATGCTGGTAATCTCCAGGAAGCCTTAGAGAAGCTGCCTCTAATGCTCCAGCAACACGGCCCTATCGACGCCTTCATCGTCAGAATGGGCAGAGCTCCTTATCGTCCCTTCCAAGACATCTTTAAACTCCTCACTCCTCATTGCGAGATTATCACCTCAGCAGCAGCCGGCTACGATGATTTCAATGTTGACTGGTTGACTCAAGAAGGGATTTGGCTCTGCAACAGCGTGGATGCTGTTGCTGAAGCTACCGCTGATATGGCTCTATTTCTCATCTTGGCTGTTGTGAGAGATACATACCGCGGTGAACGCTCAGTGCGTGAGGGAAACTGGCGGGGTCCTGTTGTTCCAAGTAAAGATCCTTCAGGCATGACACTCGGGATCATAGGCATGGGTGCTATTGGAAAGTATCTTGCCAAGCGAGCTATTGCTTTCAACATGCACATCAAGTACTACAACCGTCGGCAGTTGAGTGTAGAGGAAGAAGCAAAATACAGCGCTACGTACTGCTCATCTTTGCACGACTTACTCTCCCAGTCGGATGTCGTCTCGGTCAACTGTCCTTTGAACAAGGAAACAGAGAATCTTATCTCAACGAAAGAATTTGAAGCCATGAAAGACGGTGCTTTCATCGTTAACACAGCACGTGGAGCTATCATCGACGAACATGCCCTTATCGAAGCCTTGGAAAATGGCAAGATTACCCGTGCTGGACTCGATGTCTTTTTGAATGAGCCTGATCTGAATGACTACTTCAGAACAAGTGATAAAGTCGTTATTCAGCCTCATGCTGGTGGTCTGACGGATGTAGCTTTCCAGAGAGGGGAGAGAGAGGCTTTTGACAATATCAAGGCTTTTTTCAAGACCGGGTCGCCCGTAACACCTATCAACAATCCTAAGAAGTAGGATGTCATGAGATGAAATGCTGCATATAACAGCCAAGTACTCTTACACCATCAGACCATACAATCATGATTGTAAGATCCTAATAGAATTCGTCACAACAGGGCAACGCTAGAGCTGTGGTAGTATTGTGTGACGGAGGTTTTCTCGCTCCGTGAGAATATGTTTCATTTCGAACAAGTTGAGACAGAAGTGGTATATGATATGCAGTTGTGAATATACCTCCGCTCACTCGCCAAGTGATGAGTGACGTATAGTTTCACGGCTCATCCACTGATCCCAGTAAGGCTTTGGGTTGATTGGTGTATGCGAGAGGTTGAAAGCTGCATGTTCAGCTCAGCCGCTGGGGCTGGGGGCGGGTAAGCAATGTCGATCTTTGATCTATTTTGAGTCCAGGCAGGAGCATTAAATCTGCTTAAATCCCTTATTCAGTGCCTTCCCCGCCTCTAAATCTCCGAGACTTAATCAGGCTTGCTATAGTAGTGATTGAGTAAATATGGCTGAGTACCAAGCGCAGCACACCGAGTCCACGAGGTAACACCTACACTAACCGCCCGCCTATCTCAGCCCTCCCATTCTAACTTCCCATAGACCAGATCAAAACGAGACAATCGAGGTTCAAGATACGAATCCCGCAGATACTCAATGTAGCTCTCGTCAAAGCTTGCTCGACTCGGAACCATGCCCTTCACGACGACGCTTCACTCTATGGCAGAGCATCGGGCTCTTTAGCTTTCTCTCCCTTGTACTTGGAACCGCTTTCACCCTTGCTTCATGCGGCTTTCTCGTTTATCTCTGGCGTGGTGCTGATCTAGCGCATGGTCGCAATGAGCCGCAGTTCTGGAAGACCATTGTCACAGGCGGTTGGGCCGCCAGAGTCGCCACTATCTGTTCTGCCGTCATACGCACTTCCATCGCAGTCCAAGTTGGCGTTGTCTCCTCTGCACTGTCGGCTATTATACTTGAGACTACAGGCGTTCGCTTTAGTGATGTACCTGTGCTGTCCTTCGAGAGAGCTTCAAAGTCGGGCTTCGTCAACATCTTCCCAGCAGTCCTCAGGCAAACTGCAGGGAACCCATTAAGCATCCTGTACTCATTCATCATTATCTTGGGCTTGACTATCATGGCGATCTCGACATTCTTCTCCACCATTCTCCTCTCTGACTTTACTACAGCAAAGGTCGCCTCCCCAGGCGTGACGCATGACCGGGCTATCGCCTCCAAACACCCGGCCGATTGGCGCTTCAACTACGAGGGTCCTACGTACTGGGGATCCAAGCCATCTGCCCAATGGCGCTTCGCAGAGGATCGAATTGGGAAGTCCCAGTACGGTGACACTGGTGATGTTTATCGTGCCATGCTGCCATTTTCAGGAGCGGCCTCGAGAACATCGCTTGAGTCCTACAACGGACCTGCTCTAGTAGCCAATGTCCGTACCGTTTGTCGCGCCCCTCCGTTGCAGAACTCGAGTATTTCTGCCCACGGAATGATTAGTCCGCACTTCGGAGACCCGAAAGATAGCGTGTCAGCGATTCTGAATACGACAGGGCCGTCTGAGTGCATGTTGTATTGTCGAGATGAGGGCGAACTGACAGGTTGGCCTGTGTCTCTATGCGACTATTCCGGCTCTTTCATGCCCCAGCCCAAACTTGCAATAGATCCCAAGACGGGGAGGAAACACAGCTTCCAGGCAATGCTCGTCGTCAATTCAACGACCAACGTTGCTACTGGCGGGTTTAGGGATACTAATGGAGGACCCCCACCCAAACGTCTACGGAATCTGACTTATGAGATGGGGGATGTATGGACCAAAGCATACGATACCAATGGGGATCATGTTCTAAGTGCTTCGTTTTGTTTCTTCAACACATACCCTGCACAGATATACAACGTCAGCATGACCGGGCGTCAAACGACTAAGGACCCCAGCCTCAATGCTGGCAAGATTGACAGGGCTCATCTCCAACTTGGGAACAAGGAAGATTCCACGAAGCGCGGGATTCTTGAACTCGATATCGGACCGCGCCTGAACGTCAGTTCTCGTCTTGTAGACTTTGTCGAGGGAGTTCCGATGGAAGATGGACCGACGCACGATCCATACTACAGGACTCTGAGGCTCGAACATCCATCAATGTCCAGCACGACTTGGGGTATGATGTCGCCAGCACAGGAAGTCGAGCAAGGATGGGCATCAAATCCTGCACATATCTCACTCTTCCAAAGTATCATACAGGAAACGGAAGATCCTGCCATGGCGGTTCAAGGTCTGATGACTCGGCTGTATCAGATGGTGTATTACAACTGGCTTGAAGAATATGACCTCAAATACCCTGTGAACACTATACACACGCAAGATCGGCTTATACCGACTAGGTGGACTGGGCTAATTATTGTTCTCATTCTTGTTGCGGTACATCTTGGGCTCGTCTTTTCAACGATTGCTCTTTTTATGCTAAAGACGAAGGCTTCAGCGCTTGGGAAGACATGGCATACTCTTGCGCAGACAGCACAATTGACTGACTTTGCCGACGGGGCTAACATGATGCTGGATGATGAGGTTGAGAAGTGGGCGAAGGTGACTGGTAGGGACAGCGATGTCTGTGGTATCAAGAGGTCGGGCGAGAATGGCAAAGTTGAAGTTCAATTGTTGAGGAAGAGGAGCTGAGGGTTGCATATGTGATTGAAAGCGATCAACGGCGGTTCTTTGAGATGTCAAGACATTTGACAAAGGCTCGGAGAGAGCCATTTCGATTATTCATCATCTATTCAATCATCGCTCAATCCATTGGGGCTCAATCAAGTTGCTATTGGCTGCTTTACATGTCGTGAGACTTATGAGTTAGAAGCTTGCACCAAATAAGAGGTGCGTGTACTACATCCCATGGCCAGAAATCACCACGTGAACCTCAAAAGGTGTACCTAGCAACCCAGTTCAAAGCACACAGCTCATGTCTACAATGATAGAACAAGAGGAATCGAAGTGTCTTGGACATTATACAATTGATCGAGTTGAGCGCCTCTAGAACATAATCTGAGAGCACTTTGTAATGCGGCAGCTAGGCTATGACTGCGGGTTCTTATTCCGCCAGCGAGGGTTCGACTCCCTCTGAGGCCTTTCTTTTTGTACTCCTAACAAACAGTGAGACCAATCACTCACAATACGCTCTGCCTACTTCTTCTCATATGGGTCCTTGAAGAAGATGACCTGCACAGTCATGTCATCTCTCACATTCCGACTCATGGGCGGATACATCGTCATCGCTCCCAGGAACAATCCCCGTCTTGATCCTCCAAGAGCATTCTTGACCAAGCAAACAGCCGCGTTGTCCAGATCCTCAATGACCTGATGCTCTGGCGTAGCTGCCCATCCATCTTCCAGTCTTCCCTCAAACTTGGTCTCCTTGAAGGGTTCGGGCTTGCCATTCTTCTTGGCGACTAGCCAGCGCGACACGCATGACACGGCATCCTGGTTGCTCATCATGTCCCAAAGACCGTCGGACGCGAGAATGACAAAGTCTTCTGTCTGGATCTTCCGTGTTGTTACTTCCGGTCGGGCTGTCATGTAAGGCGGCGACTTGGCACTTGGTCGCGGTCCAGTACCGTAGAAATCGTCCTTAACTTTGCGAATGAGTTCTTCTGGCCACTTCCATCTGTGATCGCCAAACGCTCTCGTGATTGCCATTCCAAAGAGTCGACCGGACGCGGGGTTAATCATGTCCTTGATCTCTCCAGGATGTTCCTTGTCGAGCCTGTCAACCTCGTCCTGATTGAAGCCAGTTTGGTCTTTGCTCAGAATATCGACTTCGTATTTGCTTGTGTTGGGAGACCACATGCCGCGAACAGCACGGGAGTCGCCTGCGACAGCGGTGCGTAGAGTAGACGTCATGGGTTCGTACATGGTTAGAAGAGCACAAGATCCAGCTATAGCGGGTGCGACAGCGATGATGACGGCGGCAGAGCCTTGGTCATGGCCTGATTCGAGCGCTTTTTGTGCGTTGCTGAAGATGCGATCGTCAAGACGGACGAATGCCTTCTTGATTGCATCGTCTACTAGCTCATTTGAGCTGGTGGGTGTGATGCGTGACAAGGCATTCGACACGTATGGGACAAGAGCAGCTCTCAACACTTTAGATGTTGCCCATCCTCTTTCACTTGTGTTAGTATCGCTCACGTCCAATGCTTCCAGGTCACTCACGCATGTCCATCGTAAACTCCAGCATACAGAGTGTTCGTTCCGCCGACGCCCTTGGCTATCTTGAGATCCCATTCATCCTCCATCGGATTATTGCTGCCAAGGCGAGCAAAGTCCACTCGTCCCTTGACACCTCCGTTCCCGTCGAAGACAAAAGTGTGAGCATCTTCACGCAGCTTGGCATCTGCGTCCTCCATGACGAACTCCTTGACAGGTGAATTGGTCGGGATTTGATCCTCCGAAGAGAACTCCTTCAGGCTGGGGACCTCATTTGTCAAAGATTTTGACGTGCCCTTGCCGCTGAGGAGATAAAAACCAGTGCCAGTGCCAATAACTGCTGCGGACGACCAGACATAACGAGCGTTGCTGGACGTTGATGTCTGAGTTGACGAGAAGCGCACGCCGGCCGGTGCTCGCCTGGGCGATGGACCGAAAGCCCTTAGAGTTCTTGACGGTATGCGAAGCATGTTTTCTGATGTCAATGGCAACGATGTGTTGAATGATGTGTCGAATAGTGAGGCGCGTGATGAGACTCTTCGTGGAACACAGTTGGCACGACAACTTGATCCTGGTCTTTGGGCGAAAGTGAGGCTGTAGTGGGCAGATATTGCTGCCTCTGATCCCCCAAGATACGAATGAAGTGAGAATACCCAGTAAATTAACTGAGGAATTTGATGATGAATTGTTGAAAGTTGAAGAGTGAATATCTTGTCTTTTGCAGGTTCGCATGGGGTTTCTGGCCTCATGCTTACCCTAAACCAGTCATGCAAGGGCGATGGTGCACTTTCACGTTTCAAGTTCAATGTGAGATGCGACAGCACAAGGTAAGGTACGATACAATCTGTATAATCACGAGCAGCTCTAATGTAACGGTTTGCCAAACTTGACTAGGTAAGGTAGGTTCTGTGTGCAGATTTAAGTTCTCAGCCACAAGCCTCAACTGCAAATAACACATCTTTGCCAAACTTGACAAACCCACGAAACGAGATATCATGCAATCACAAGAATCACAAAGGTATTCATTGCCCAATCCATTATATACAACGCCAAACCAAAGCATGCAATCTCCAACCATCTAATCCTCTTCCACTCAGCTATTGGCAATCTCCTCCTGCTCGTCCTCCCACTCTCCATCCTCCTCCATCTTCTCATTGACCTTGAACTCGGCGTCACCCGCCAGACCCTCACTGTCAAACTCATCCACATCCATGTCACTATCGTACTCATACTCGAACTCGTCTTCTTTGTCGTCATCCTTCTTGCCGTCTTTGGCCTTGGCTGCCTTCTTGCGCTCAACGTTGGCCTTTTGCTCCTTCTTTCGTGCCTCCTTCTCTTGGTGGCGCTTCTCCCATCGCTTCTCGAGCTCTTTGATCTCTTCCTTGCTCTTGTGAACGTACTCGTGCCACATGACCTTGCCGTCGGCGAGGCCCTCTTCGACCTTGGTTAGTCGGAGACGCATTCTGGGTCCGAGTTCGACGAGCTTGACGGCGCGGCGCTCTACGTTCTCCTCTTCCGCCTCGGGCTCGGCTTCGTTCTGGGCGGCTGCTTGTCGGGCCTTTGCAGACAAGACCTTTCGAGTTGTAGAGTCCAGGACCTCAACTTCAGCGTCCGTATCTATCTCACTGCCGCTAGTCGCATCCGTCATGTATCCATCGCCGTTTTCGCCTCCGATCAAGAAGTCCGCGACATCCTCAAGTTTACCCAGATTAGGCATCTTGCCCTTCCGGCTTGTCTTTGTAGTGACGAATTGCTCAGCAGCGTTCAATCTCCGTAGAGGCTTGGATACTGTGGTTGACTTTGTTGTGATGGCATAGTGTCGGAAGTTAATGATGAATGTACCGTCGTCTTCCTCCGATTGCTCGCGATTCAGCAGCAGGACTCGTCGGATCGACTTGAGCGGTGTAGCTTGGGGGTTGATGGGAGGGAAGAGGGATTGGAAGACGGTCGTGGCAAGCGATTCAAGGTGCTTAGGAACTTTCGACTTGCTAGTCGAGTCTGGGCGGGTAAAGTTGTTCATGACCAACTGTAAATGGTTAGCAAAGGCTTGTCAACGACAATTGACGACTTCTTACCAGAGGAGGAGTGATGAACTCCTTGCCGCCGCCCTTGGGGTGCTTCTGAGCTCTTTGAACATCCTTGCACAGCGAGTATTTCTCCACGCGAAAGTTCATCGTAGGTCCTCGAGGCGTCAAGGCCATTCGCAAATTGGTATTCCCACTCTCCGATCTCGAAAACAGCATCAAGTGCGTAACACCCAAAGGACCACACATAGAAGCGTAATCCTTTAGTCTGTTCCCACGTCTCTCCTTCAATCGAGCCGCAGTACCAGGCTCCATGACCTTTCGCACATCGGCCGCAAGCTGGCTAACGCTGGAACCGACTTCACCAGCGCCAATTCGAATAACCATGCTCTTGGGATCCTTCGCGGATGCATGGCCGGCAGAGTCAACCTCGGGGTTGCTGGCACCCAAGTGGGTTCTCTTCTTTGTTCGTTTGCGCGCCATTGTGAAGAAATTTGTCTTGATTCGAGTGTACAGTACTCGTCGAAAAGTTGCTTTGGAGCTGCTCTCTGTCGCAAATGGCAGAAAAGAAAAAAAGTTTGGCGGGGACAGCGATAAGATTAGCGCACGTGCGATAAGCCACCTCCACTAAAGTTTTATGTGAAGTCTTGACAAAAGATGATCTTTTTTTTGAGTTGGGAACTATCTTTTACTTAGACATCGTCCATCATGTTCGGCGCAAAACGAAGAAAGGTCGCGCACGATGCGCCCAAGAAGAAGAAACAGGTCGTTGCGGAGAAACCTGCTCGAGCTGAGCCTGAGCCTGAGCCTGAATCATCTGACGAAGAGCAATCTGAGGAAGAGTCCGCTACTCTAGAGGAGCCTTCTGCTGAGGAAGCAGTTGAGGATGCCCCCAAGAAAACCTTCAAGGACCTCGTATGTCGTGATAACTACTAATTGACTTTCTGTGTCTAACCAACAACTGTCAGGGTATCGTCGACGCTCTCTGCGAAGCTTGCGAAAAGCTCAACTACAAGTACCCCACGCCCATCCAAGAAAAGTCCATCCCCGTCGCTCTCGAAGGCCGTGACATTATCGGTCTCGCCGAAACAGGTAGTGGAAAGACAGCTGCCTTTGCTCTCCCCGTTCTGCAGGCTCTTCTCGAAAAGCCCCAGCCTCTGTTCGGTCTCGTCCTCGCCCCGACTCGTGAATTGGCAACCCAGATCGGCCAAGCCTTCGAAGCTCTCGGATCGCTCATTTCTCTACGATGTGCTGTCATTGTCGGTGGTCTGGACATGGTTCCCCAGGCCATCGCCCTCGGAAAGAAGCCTCATATTATTGTTGCGACACCTGGTCGTCTCGTGGACCATCTTGAGAAGACCAAGGGCTTTTCGTTGAGAACGCTCAAGTACTTGATCATGGACGAGGCTGATCGACTTCTGGATATGGACTTTGGACCTAGTATCGACAAGA